AGAAACGGCGGGGAGAGGAGGGGGGGGGGGGGGGGGGGAGAGAGAGAGAATGGGAAGGGGGTGCACATGCTCCCCTTCTCCTTTTGTTGTGGGAAGACAGGGAGATATTTCAGTTGGTTATGTTTCTCCACTCCTGGCAGGTCCTGGCCAACTGGGCAAAATAATGGAGGCATTAAACCACACCACACTGGGATTCTTTAGGAGCTGCTTTTCAGAGAGGCAGCTGTTTTAGTCCTTTTTCGTAGAGAAAAGTAAAAGAGTACACCCAAGTGCTGTGGTACCTTTTTTTTTGTCTTAAGGGACTGAAATACTCTGGTTTTGCTGTATGTTGCTTGGCTTCTCCCTCTCCCTTTCTAGCAGTTGGCAGCTAAGTCCAACTGTGATAGGTTTAACAGATGTGATTGGACTAAAACTCCCATCCATTTGAGCTGTGTTGGCTGGTGAAGGCAAACTATAGTCTGCTCCCCTCCCAACAGTGAGGGACAATGAACTGGCCCCTTGTTTTAAAAGTCTGAGGACCTCTGTTATGTCAAAAGAGGTCACAAAAACCTGTGCTTTTTCTAATTGCTGATAATCTGCTGTGTTTGCCTTATTTCTATTTTGATTTTAAATTTTAAAATTCTCTAACTGCAAGGTGACCCAAATGATTCAAAACAAAAGCTAAATAGAAATATTGTCACATTTTCCAGAAATATTTCTTAACATTGTTAAAGTTATGAGTCATGAAAGAATTTTCCAAAATGTAAATTTCCTTATTTTACAATACCCATTAACTACCGTTTTTGCCGGCATACAAGACGACTGGGCATATAAGACGACCCCCCAACATTTCCACTCAAAATATAGAGTAGACGGCTCTGCTGTGCCACGGGCAGCCCGGGACTCTGCCCAGGCCCGCCCTGGAAGTTTGTGGCTGGCGACCAGGACGGCGAGGAGAGGAAGTGGCTGGGTGGGCGGTGGCAGCAGAGGAGGAGGGGAAGGGAAAGCAGCTCTTCAGCGGCGCGCGGGCGAGCAGCTGGCTCAGCTCCGAGGAGGACGAGGAGGGGAAGCGGGCAGGCGGCGGAAGAGGAGGAGGAGGAAAAGGGGAACCGGCTATCCGGCAGCGGATGGGCAAGCAGGCAGCTGGCTCAGCGGCGGCGGGCTCTGGCTGCTCAGGCATGGCAGGCTGTGCTTCCCTCCATCCATCCAGACCGCCTGCCTGCCTGCCTGCCCACCTGCCTTCCTCCCCAGCCAGCCCAGACCCGCGTCACTCACTCAGCGGCGGCTCCTTCCTGGCCCAAATGAAGTGCACCCAGCGTACAGACGACCCCCCCCACTTGGAGGCATGTTTTTTGGGCCCAAAAAGTCATCTTGTACGCCGGCAAATACGGTACATAAATGATCCTGCCAATAGGCAGAAAGATATATCCAACAGGTCACTATAGATTAAGCAATATAATCAAGAATAGTGTGTAAAAAAGAGACTAATTGGAAGTGAGTATCAAATTAGCTTCTGTTCTCAATCAAGCTAACTCTGCTTCCCTCCCTCTGTCCGTACCGACCACCTGCCCGCCTGCCTTCCTCCCCTGCCGGCGCGGCCCCGCGCCACTCAGCAGCTGCGGCGGCTCCTTCCTGGCCCAACTGAAGTGCACCCGGCACATAAGACGACCCCCCCACTTGGAGGCATGTTTTTGGGGCCACAAAAGTCATCTTATACGCCGGCAAATATGGTAGCTTGTTCTGATAACTGTTGTACAGTATAAGGCAGGTTGGTGATTAAAGTATCTTTTTTGTTGTCCTTATGAAGTGAATACTTTAAAAATAATTAACCACTTGACATATGACAAAGTGGTCTGTATGAGTTTCAGATGTACCTGGCGCAAATGTAAAAACCTCTGCAGACCAACGATAACTGCTCTAAGGAACGCAGGTCCAGATCACTGGAAACCACCCATCGAAAAATATACACCAACAGCTCCATAGGAAACACTATGGAAAAATAAATGAGTATATTGGATTATATATCTCAAAGCCTAACTGGGTATTTCCCTCTAAAACAGGTGATTCCTAGGAGTTTGTCTAAGAATTACTCACTTTTTTTACTGTGTTCTATTTTAATAACCAAAGTTATCTTTAAGATATTTTAAATGTGTTGCTTTTTTGCATAGCATGTCTGTTCCAAACTGCTACTTCTCTGTAAACTGTTGACTCCTCTGAACACAAATATGTAAAGTATAGTAATTACTCTGCATGTCAACAGTATGCTTACACGTTCAGATGTAAAAATCTTGTTCTTCCAATATGTATATACTGTCTGTGTGTGTGTGTGTGTGTGTGTGCGCGCGCATGTGTACATACAGTGGCACCTCGCTTGATTACGTTAATCCATTCCAGTGAAATCGCTGTAGAGCGAAATAGTCGTCAAGTGAAATAAAAAAGCCCACTGAAATGCACTGAAAACCGTTCAATGAGTTCCAATGGGCGAAATACCTGCTCGTCCAGCAAAGATCCTCCATAGAGCGGCCATTTTCTGCTCCCTGCATAGCAAAAATTCTGTCCTAAAAACAGTGGGGAGCCATTTTGCACAGCGGGTGGCCATTTTGGAAACCCGACGATCAGCTGTTTGATCGTCGTAAAGTGAAAAAGCGGTTCCCGAAGCAGGAAACGATCATCGTAAAGCAGTTTTTTCCCCATTAGAACATCGCAAAAGCGATCGCAAAAACCGAATCATCAAGCAGATTCGTCGTTTAACGAGATAATCATTAAGCGAGGCACCACTGTATATATGTGTGTGTCTGTCTCGCCAGCACTCAAGAAGATTATACGCTCAAGCAAGAAATCTTTAGGAATTCTATATGTAAGACTCTCCTAACACAAGGAATATTTTTGAAGATTTAAACCAAGACTAGGAAGAAGATGGGCAATGTAAATTCTTACACCAGGTATTGAGAATCAGTGGATTGTCCTGCCCTTCACAAAACAGCCTCTAATAATCTAGATTAGAAAATTTATGAAATTAAATATAAAAATAAAAATGACAAGATTAAAATATAGCAGTAAGACAAAATAATCACTGCACATCTCCATATTTATGTCATACATCCTGTGCTAAATATATGACATGAGATTGGCCAGCTGATGAAGGGCTTCTCTCTATGAAGTGGATTCTCTTCTTGACCTCTCATCAGTTTACAAGGTCCACTTCTGTAACATTAAATAAAGCCCACAGATAGTGTACGCAGAGAAGGAAGAATGGTAACCTTTTATGGCCCTGATCGATTGACTGCTTCCTAAAATTTGTATCCTGTTTTCCCACCAAAAATAGTGTTGAAGTAGACAATGTATGAGATTCCTTTTAAACCTGCCTAAGTATTTTCATGTTTCTTGCAAGAGCTGTTATGTTTTTAATGAATATTAACTCTCCAGGTCATGAATCCTAGTAACAAAATATGTAATCCTAGTAACAAAATACTGTCTCAACATGTCATCGGCCCGACTCATGAGAAAGGCCATACACTTGACCTAGTATTCTCTACGGGACAGGGGGATGGTGGTCTGGATGTGGTGGATTTATCTTTGACTCCGTTGTCATGGTCGGACCATTTCCTGGTAAAATTTAGACTCTCAGCCACTACTACCCTCTGCAGGGGTGGGGGATCAATTAAAATGATCCGCCCCCGGAGACTTATGGATCCTGAAGGATTCCTGAATGCTCTAGAGGAGTTTCCAGCTGATATGGTCGGCGCTCCTGTCGAAGCCCAGGTCGCCTTGTGGTACAAGGAGATGGCCCGGGCGGTTGACACGATCGCACCTAGGCGCCCTCTCCCTGCCCGCAGAGCCTATAAGGCTCCATGGTACACAGAGGAGCTTTTGGCCATGAAACGGTTGGGGAGACGGCTTGAGCGCAGATGGAGGAAATATCGCTG